TAAAATCTAAAACCAGATGCTTTCTTTGATTACTTTCAATTTTTGCCACTAAATGACTCAAATCATTTTTCCCAGTTATACTAGTATAACATAAATAGCATAACTTCTGGAGGAAACTGCCTTAAATTAAGAAAGTTGCCTTGCTTAGGATGCAACTGGTAGTGCCTATGGTGATTTCTTAACCTAGGACAATTTTCCTTAAAAAGTTAAGCCATTTGCAAAGCCACACAAGAGGATTTTGGCAGAAATATATTTATAAATATAGTGTTTTCTGTACATTCACCAGAACAAATAATTATGTTCTTAATAGAAACCTATTTGATCATAACTATCAGTACACCAAAATTTTGGCAAAATTTTCGCAGTTGGCTGAATTTAAAAACACACGCGCTAGATTTAATTAATAAGGGATGAATGAATTCCTCATGGTCAAAGAGAAGCACCAAGCAAACTGAACAATATAAAACAACACATGCAACATATATTATCCAAACAATGCATCCAAAGGTGTATAACATTTTTGTCAGAATTTTTGTGATAATTATCCAAGACCAGGGGTGGAATCGCTATGCTATCAAGGAATATAGGTAATAAAGGTATTTCACAATAATCAGTTCTACTTGTGTTGATTTTAATTTTATTTATTTGTATTTATTATTTTTATTTATATTTCATGTTCCCCTTCAGATATACCCAGAATGGCACACAACACATAGAAAATAAAAATATAACACATAAAATAATAAAATACTTCAAATAAATGATAAAATGTAATAAAATAGCAGCAATTTATATAATTTTGTCTTATATAATACTTGCCAAATAAGCGGTGGAAGAACAATTCCTGACATCCAAAAGCCTACTGAAATAATTCTGCCTTATATTACTGACTGAATCTCCTGGCAGATGCCACAGTTCACAGGAAGAGAATTCCAGAGTACAGTAATGTGGATAGCAACACAGAAAGATCTGATAAACATGTATACTTACAAAGCTAATGATAATGCACTTAATGTTACAGTGTGATCCAGAACATGGTATCACAGTGACACATATGTCTTAGCAACATGTCTTCACTACTGGAATTTTTCATAGCCTCAACTTATTACAAGTACGTTACTGTAATATATATTGAAATAGATCTAAGTACTTACACTTTGCATAGAGGCAATCCATCATTGACTGCACCAAATCCAATTTGGCTTTAATGGAAAAGTTAATGAAGTTGGTATCAACCAGGATGTAGTAGGGAGGCCCTAACTGTGTGTTATATTGGAAGAACAAACAGGATGGGTACTTTGGGCTGAAAAACAAAAAACACAGGACAAACTGCTTTAAAACAAGCAATCAAAACTTAACAGGCAGAATTTAACTGAAGGATTATATTAGCGTTGAATCCATTGATGTAAGTGAGTGTCTGCCTTTGTCATATGTAAAGTTACACAAGCAGTGTGTGAAATGAAATGCAAACACCTGCTTCCTAACTAGCCTAAGATATTTGACTTTAACATATATGCTGAGGCACTAATAGCATTCTGTCCATTGTCTGTATAGTGTCTTGCTACTTCAAAAGCATGTATCTCTGTTTCTTTTGTGACTAGGGAACCTGTCCAGGATTTGATTTTATCACCTTTTTTCCTCTGGAGTCTAACCAGCAGTGACATTAAACATTCCTCATCATCGCCATTCCTCCCCCCCCCATAACTCTCTTATGACCTGTATCTCTGCTTAAATCATCTCCAGATACCAGTCCTGTAAGAAACATTTTTTCAAGTGCACAACTTCTCTATAATATAGTAGTTGATTTGAGAAGGACTATATGAATAGTCCATATACAATGTATTCTCGATATACAGTTCCAGACAAGCTAAATAGCTGTTCATCCTTTTAAATAAGCAATTATATAATGAAGGCAGCATTATGGTTAAACAGTCTGATATAAACTATTCTGCCTTTTCCTCTACTTCACAATGTGTTCTGCAAAGTTTGCACACACAGAAATTTAGTACTTATTTCCCACAAGATTTCATGAGTGCAACATTTGAAATAACAGCAAATACAAATAAAAACTTTAGTACAGGCAGATAGAACAAATGTAAATGTGCAATGTTGGCTTTCAGGAAAAAGTTAATAAATTTCACTCACTAAAATGACAGTCAATGAAGCTCGTGCACAACAATGAAACCATTTATATATTTTATCATAGTACATTTGTGATGCACATTAGCTGGTCACTGTGTCTATAGACAAACACTGTATTGTGTCTGGAGAAGATGGTCTGTGCTTCCCCATCTTTCAGGGGGGGTCACTCTTTTCACGAAGGATGAGGTGCTTGGCTTGGGTGTACTTCTGGACCCAGTGCTATCAATGGCATCAGAGTTAATGTCTGTGGTCTCTTCCGCTTATTTCCATCTAAAGCGGGTCACCCAGCTGCACCCCTACCATGACACCAGGTCCTTCACTACACTGGTTTATGTGCTGGTAATCTCAAGAGTAGACTACTGCAATGCCCTCTATGTGGGGCTACCCTTGGGACTGCTACGGAGATTGCAATGGGTCCAGAACACAGCAGCCAGATTGAGTGGGACAAGGAAATACCAACACATCTCCCCCCCCACCCGGCCACCATACACTTGCTTCATGTTCACTTCCGTACCAGTTTCAAGTTAATGGTACTAACCCATAAGGCCCTAAACAGTTTGGGACCTCAATATTTGGCCAAGTACCTCATTCCAGTTAGATCTGCCTGCCCTATAAGATCATCCCACGCAGGGCGGTTGAGAGTTCTGACCCCAAGAGAGGCCTGGAAAACAATTACTGTACTAAAAAGCGGGCTTTCTCAGTGGTAGCTACACAACTATGGAACTCTCATCCACCTGAAGTCTGCCTGCCCTCTTCACTGAGCACATTTAGGAAGCTGTTAAAATCCTGGCTACTTAAGCAGGCCTCCCCTGAACAAACAACTGTATGATACAATGGTGTTTGCTAAAATATCATCCATCACACCACTATGCTTCTTGTCTTTTATGTTATGCTATTAATTGTAATTTATTGTATTGTATTTGTTTTTACTGCACTTTATTTATGCCCCAATCGTATTATTATTATTTTGTATATATTATTCTGTTATTCTGTTGTTTTATCTGTTGTAAACCACCCAGAGTGGCCCTGGCTGCCAGATTGGTGGTATATAAATCAAATCAAACCAAACCAAATCACCAACCAACAAACAAACACAAACAAATAATATTGCAATCTTAAAATATAAATTCATAAAATAATAACTCATTTTGTTACTTACACTTCCCTCTCTTTGATTGCACTGGGATCTTCTTTCTTTTTCTTTTTAGCTTTTGCTCGGTCTTCCTCTTTGCTAGAAATGGCAAAAGGTTTGAAAACATATGCACCAGCTACTGCCATTCCAAAAGCCACTGTGTATAACTTAGGATCATAATATTGAAATGGAGAAGAAATAAGTGAGAATAGAGTCTAATACTAAAACTAGAAGGAAAGTATATTTCAAATATTAAACATTTAGGCATAAATTCTGATTGTTTTTACCATGTAATGATCTGTTGGACAAACAGTTTTTGTTTCACTGCCATTTGTGTAAGTGGGTTTCACTACCTCCTTGTATAAGTGAATGCCTGGTTGCTTTGTATGGGGCAATCACTTGTTCCCACAAATGCAAGCCAGAGTCCAGTGTGTACTATGTGTCAGGATTCAGCTCTACTAAGTCATAATAAGAGACTCACATGCGCTGGTCACGAAGGCTGATGGTGCGTTTCATAGTAGCATATTTCCTTGCTTTTTTCTGCTTCCCCTAATAAGAAATTAATGGCAGATTATTCTCCTGAATAAATATCATGAGTCCCCTCTAGTTCTGTCTGATCTACCATCATAAGCAACAATTTCTAAAGCAAAAGAGTCCAGCATTTGCCCATCATTTTCAGGTTTTTATGGTTGATTACTTACTGCTGAAGAAATGCACTCTGGTCAGGCTATTCTTGACATTCATATGTCTCTTGCAACCTAAACAGATGTTATGGCTACTGCTTTGCATGGTTTCACTAAAATATACACTATTATAAAAAAAAATCCAATCAGACTACTGGTCCCAGCTTATCATGATAGGTGCTATTCAGATACAAAATTGCTTACACTGACCCGGTTAAATCTATTTTTAGCAACACACCTCTACACCCTTCTGGGGCTCACAAGCTCTTCTATTATTATATCTTTATAAATGTCATCACCTCAGAACTGCTGCGCTGGAAGGGACCCTAAGGATCATCAAGTCCAGTCCCATTAAAGAGACACAGTGTGGAATCGAACTCCCAACCTCTGGCTTCAGAGGTAGATCCCTAAACCACTGAGCTATAACTATAAATAGAAAAGAGAACATAAGGAGTTAAACAGATATGTCTGATCTTAGGGGTCAACAAACCAGATAAGAAGATTGGCAGTTCTGTGTTTTTGAGTATGCTCCCTGCATTAAGTCAAAGTAAGAAAAAGTGGGGTCTTCAACATTTCTTTCCCCCTCAAAACCATAGAGCTTGTTTATGGAACAAGTATATTGTTTTCCTAAATTAGCGTTAAAGCATGTTTCTTATTCCATTTCAAGTCTGGTACTGCTTTTTTAATTTAGAAGCGAGCAGAATATAGTTTTACGTCAAGGCAACATTGATAAACGCTACAAATACTACCAAAGGGAAATAACAGGCACAAGAATGCTGTTTATCCTTGGGCGAGCCTTGAGGCTACATATTTGATAACATAACAAGGGAGCAATGTGGTCAAAGCAAAATAAAATACAAATGCAATAGGCGATACCTTTATACACCTCTTAAAATCATATAATATTGTATGATTATTTTTAAGGTGTTCCCCTTCATGGATGGCTGCCTTGTCGTGGCGAAGGAGCTTGAGTAATTCAGAGAAATTATGGGCTCTGCTGTGCAGGGACACCTAAGATGGACAGGTCATAGTGGAGAATTCTGACTAAACACGATCCACCTGGAGTAGGAACTGGCAAGCCACTCCAGTATCTTTGCCAAGGAAACTCCATGGACAGAAAAAAGGCTAAAAGATATGACTCTGGAAGATGCTAATAGGCTAAAAGATATGACGCTGGAAGATGCTAATGGGGAAGAGTAGAGGACAAGTAGCTCCAGAGCTAACCTGTTTCCCCTAAAATAAGACTTAACCTGAAAATAAGCCCTGGTACAGTTTTTCAGGATGCCAGTAATATAAGCCCTACCCCAAAAATAAGCCCCCGTTAAGTGAAACCCTGCCCTCCACCATTGTCTGCAACCAGTAGATGACATGATAGTATTTGAATAAATGTAGATTGTTGTACATGAAAAAAATAAAACATCCCCTGAAAATAAGCCCTAATGCATTTTTAGAGCAAAAATTAATGTAAGACATATAAGATCCTGTCTTATTTTTGGGGAAACATGGTAATGAAGTGGTTGGGCCAAAGCCGAAAGGATGCTCAGCTGTGGGCACGCCTGGAAGTGAAATGAAAGTCCGATGCTTCAAAAAAATACTGCATAGGAACCTGGAATGTAAGATCTATGAACTTTGGGAAGCTGGAGGTGGTCAAACAGGAGATGGCAAGAATAAACATCTTGGGCGTCAATGAACTAAAATGGATGGGAATGGGCGAATTCCATTCAGACAATTATATCTACTATTCTGGGGCAAGAATCCTGTAGAAGGAAGGGAGTAGCCCTCATAGTCAATAAAAGAGTGGGAAAATGTCATAGAAGCTACCAATATGAATTTGACCCAACTCCGGGAGGCAGTGGAAGACAGGAGGGCCTGGCGTGCTCTGGTCCATGAGGTCACGAAGAGTCGGACACGCCTTAACAACAACAAAATATAGGCATTGCCTATTGCATTTGTATTTTAGATTTGATTAAGATTCCGATATCCAGTGATATAAGACAGAGCAGTAAAAGGGCAAGAGACAAACAGACCCTCTTGAGTCATTGCAGAACTGTAGCCTCCTCTCCACCGCTTTGAAAAAAAAAAGGAGATTAATCCTCACCATCTTCCCAGTTCCTCGGGACGCCTCGCCGCACTTGCTTCCTCCACGCACACTTCCGGCGCGCGGCGCCTCTCGCGCGGACAAAGCTTTCTACGTCATTTCCGGGGGCCTTTCCACCGAGGGGGGGTGCGCTAGGAGAGCTCGCGGCTGCTGGGCTGGAGCCGTCCTGCACCGTAAGTACCATTTAGGGCGACGGTTGCTCTTCGGCTGGCTTTCACTTTCCCCTTCTCGGCGGCCGCTTTCTCCCCTCTTTTCTTTCGGGGGGAAAGAGGAAGGCGAGAGAAGGGAGGAGGACCTTGAGTTGCTTGGGAGAGAAAGGGAAGCCCTTGCAGCCGAGAAAGGGGGCGGCGCCCTTGGGACAGGATCCTTCCCGTCTTTCCAAACTAGGGGGGTAGGATCGGAATTCCTTTGGGGATTAAGATTACAGGGGAATTAAAGAGGCTGGGTCCGACTGTCGGCTGCCCAAAGGGTCGGTGGGTCTGAGCCTTGGAAAGGGAGTCAGGCCCCTGTATGAGTTTCTTGCCAGGACCCATGTAGGAAAGAAGGAAGTTTAGCCAGAGTATCCCATCCACGGTGGGGTGTAGCTCGCAGCATTCGTGGGCTATCGCATTGTGGGAGCCATTGATTTACTTTCCGCCCGGCCAACCCACGGGCGTTCTTTAGGGATCCCAACTTGTTCTGGTTGACATCTGTCTTCCTCCCCACCTCTTTATCACCCCGTTTCAGGAGATTGGACCAAGGTTCTAAATCCACAATCTTTTCTCCCTTCCCCCCCCCCATCATCATCTTGCTTGCATTTTATATTGGGCCTGAAAAGCAAGTTAGTTGTTCTTATTATTTGGTTTGAAGAAACTGAACTCGCGGTTCCACAATCTTTTCTCCCTTCCCCCCCCCCATCATCATCTTGCTTGCATTTTATATTGGGCTTGAAAAGCAAGTTAGTTGTTCTTATTTGGTTTGAAGAAACTGAACTCGCGATACAAAACAGTTACGGTTTCATAAGAAATTATCAATGAAATTATAATTTCATAAGGAATTATCAATTTCAGGATCTGTTTCCGTTTTGACAGCTTTCATCTTGTCCTCCTGGCAACAGCTCTGCATTGATTTTTTTCTTCATTTTATGCTGCAGTTGGCTAATTGTTTTTCATTGTTCTTGGAATGCTCTTTTCCCCCTGTTAATGCAACTGTTCTACAAGAATACAAAATTAGAAAGTGTTCCTCTGTTCTTTTGGTCCCTTTTGGTTTTCATGGTATACTTTCTGTTTTGACTTCAACTCTGTTTGGTTTGATGTATAATACTGTAATGGGAAATGATGCATGGTGAATATTTCTATGTATGGGGTCTGAATCAAAGATGGTAGATTTGTTCCCCTTCATAGAAACACTAAATGAAATTACAAGTGTTTGAAGTTTGCAGTAAGATGTCTTAGAGAACTGTATGAATTACCATTTAATGAGTCTGTTGATAAAATTTGCCCTACATTGACCTTGTTTCTATGAATAAGCGTTGCATAACATTACCATAAAGAATAGTGGGAGCTAGATGTTCCATTGAATTACTTCAAGCTTACTGATTTATTTTTAACAATTCTTATGCTGCCTCTTTGTTCTTATGTAACGTAGTATGTAATATAGTACAGTAGTATGGTTTGCCTAGAGACAAATCTGTCAGAAATAAGTTTCCCAGATGTATTTGTAAGATAGCATCTCATGATAACTGAACTTTTTATAGCTTCAAGGTTGCTCTTATCATAAGCTTGTGTAAATAACACAATGAGAAAAATAAGAATTGCTTGTAGATGGCCAGACAAATAAATTGTACACAGTTTTACATTTTCCCCCTCTTAGGCTGCAAGTGACAAGAACAGGTATTGCAGAAAGGCTAATAAAAGATATTGTGGACTAATGCTATGCTTGTAGGCTGTTGTAAAAATTCTTCCTAAACTTCTAAAGTGACTACTGTAAATCCTGTTTAATGCTCATGTTTTTATCTTCCTTTATTTTGTAAGGAGCATTACATTAGGCAGAAAGACTATGGTCTGCAGGTTAACTGACAGATGACAGTTTTGGTTCTATTTTGCATGTCAAGGAGAGCCCTGATTATGTCATGTCTAGCTGCTCACATAAAAACTACCATTAATATTTTGGATGATTGTGAATTCTGGAACAGATATGTTCAGCACTCATTTTACCTTGTTAAGAACCATTGATTAAGTTTTGTATGGCTAAGTAGCTTACTTTAAGATATCAGAGACAACTTATTTTCCTATGTAGTTGATATAATAGCTTTTTTAGTGTACCCTTATATAATCAATTAAATTGTACAACAGACTTGGATATGTTGTTATGGAGTCGGTGTTTTTATAGCAATAATATTTTGAGCGTTTCACCATCCATGTCTGATATTGTTAACCTTGCAGGCTGAGGATTGCCTGAGTAAGAGTACAGTTTTCATTGAGGGTGGAGACAGTGTAGACTTTGTGAAAACTGATTCTTCCAGTATTGCTATCAAACTATTTCTGCAATCATGACTAGAGTGCATATAAGAGATGGTTGGGGAAGGCAATGGTGCTGTGTAGATTAGATTGACATGATCTGGAAATGTAGTGTGGATTGGGAGGGAATGGCTTGATGTTATTTCTCTCTTACCCCTTCCACCACAGACAAACAACCCATGTCCATCATTCCAGTCCACCAGGTTTTAATTGCCTGATCACTGCATGATTTGAAGCAGTGCTTGATTTGTCTTTGGAGATGGCAGCAGAGCTTTGTGTGTACCTTCCAGTGTAGAAGATGCAGATCTCCAACACATTTCTTGCTTAAATGAGCCATAAGAGCTGCATCCCTGCTTGGGTCTTCTCTATAAAAGAGATGGAAACATGTGCTATGGGGAATGTTCATCATGCATCTGTCTAGTGTTCTGTGTCTGTAATTATTTTTTGATCTGAATAATGTATAATAGTAAAAATTGGGAAGATTGCAGTAAGTCCTGTGTAGCAAGCACATACTTGGGCCTTTGGTCCCTTCATCGTTTTGATGGAGAGAGTCAGTTGGTGAACCCTTAAGCTGCCCTGCCTGTCTGCTTAGGAAACATTTCCATGTACAGTACTTGGAAAGTTAAACTAATCTGCCACCAACAGACTTGAGTAATAAATTTCTTCTGCAATCCATTGTTCAACCAAGAAAGAAAAGCCAGTCTGGGCAAGTGGGATTTTTCTCTGGTATATGTAGAAGAAGTAGAAACTTTGGGACAGAGATTTTGTGACACACAGGTAAAGGCTTTTGGAACAATTTAATCTCTGTCAGATGAATTTAGAAACTGTAATGAATGGAATAGTTCTAGCAATGCAAGCCTCCCACAGAAGGGAAGAGTAGCAGCTGCTCCTCCCATGGAAGATTAGGGGACTTCATTATTAATGCTTGATAGTGGCAGATGTGCTTTAGCAAGTACAGACGGTGGATATTACCTTTTTTAGTCCCTTTTATAGTTCTCTCTCAATGGAATAACTGATTGGAGTTTGGGCATGATCTGGCTTTTTAAAATGCTCCAGGCATTTCTGAAGTCTATATTTATATATTACTTCTGTATTGGACTCCCCTTCTTATTTTCAAATATACAGGGTGAAATGTTCTATCAGAGAGTTGTTTCTACATGAGTGTTGTTTCTGTTGCTTTGCTGTGCAGAAATAATTGCTTAGTTGTTTTTCATCTGTTGCACACATTCTAGAGCAGTCATCCCTTGATGTTGCAAAGCTTCTATCTCTTCATTCTACAGGCAGTATTATTCTGAGAATATGACTTCCCATCTCCAGCATGTCTATGACTGCTGTGAGTACTGCTGAATAGTACTAGTGACATGTCCAAAGAATACAACCTCCTTCTGATTTTCCCTTGTGCCATTTTGCTTTGTTGGTTTATTTTAAATTGAGGCTCTGTGCTCAAAGGCCAGCTAGCAGGATTATCACAATGTGTCTGCTGTTCATAATAGTTCAGCTGTCCTCTTTTCCTGTTCCCCTTCATTCCATTATCTAGACATTGTGCTGTTTTCTTTGAAAGCAGGCTTGTGGGATGAGTGCATGAAGGAGGATGAGGCACATAGTCAGTGATCAGGTGTCACGTTCCCGGGGGTTACAACAGCCGAAGTCCGATAAACCAGTCCAAGTTCAGGAATACCAAGAATGCAAAGCCAATATCCAATTGCCAAGCCAACTCACAGAACGTAGTCCAAGGTCAGAGTCCAGAGGCAAACACACAATGTAGTCCAAGGTCAGAATCCAGAGTCAGGAACATGGTTCAAGGTTGTAGGAGCGTGGATGCAAGCCAGAGGTTTTGACTTGTTGCTTCCACAGAAATTCTAGCTGACTAGGAGCTGTTTTTTATAGCAAAGCAGCCCCTTGAGCTGCTGGAAACCTTTCCATCCTGTCAATAATCAGGGCTAGTTGGACGGATGTTTCTGTGGACAGCCTTCCAGCGATCCTCTGACCTTTATGCCATAAGTCTTCCCCGAAGCCTGGCCCGAAGTTTGTCTGCTGAGGAAGGAGAATCTGGAGGCAATTCAGGTGTTTCTGATTGCTCAGCATTCTCCTCAGCCTCAGTTAACCCTTCTGGTTCCAGGTCTTTAGCTGCACTCATGACATCAGGTCTGATATCTAGTACAGTACCCTTTCTGGTGGCCCTGTGAAAATACTGCCTGTATTTTTGTTAGCTTGGTAGCATCTTTCTTGACTGTACTGTACTTTGGATTAATTTACTTAAGCAGAGTTTATAATATTGTCTGGTCATAAGGCCAGCTATGACATTTCAGGAGATTAATCTCCTCAAAGTGCATAAGAAAAAGAATAGAAGTTTAGGGTGAGAAGAAAAAATTAAAAGCTGCGCTCAGTTTTTTTCTTTTGCCTAACTTCATGGGAATGTTAATATTAGTTCTTCGTGGCCTCTGTGAATCACACCCTGGGTGATTCCCACCTGCGGGGAGCCTCATCAGAAGACTCTAGAGCAGTGGTTCTTAACCTTTGTTACTCGGATGTTTTTGAACTGCAACTCCCAGAAACCCCAGCCAGCACAGTTGGTGGTGAAGGCTTCTGGGAGTTGCAGTCCAAAACTCCTGAGTAACCCAAGGTTAAGAACCAGTGCTCTAGAGCTTTCCAGCCCTTGCTCCCTGCCTTTTTGCTTTCGGAGTGCATTATGTAAAAATCGGTTTTATATATATTGTGTATTTTTGTTGTAAGCCTAGAGTAGTCTCAACTGACTAGATAGGTGGGATGTTAAATAAATAAATAAATAAATAAATAAATAAATAAATCCGGAAAGCCGAAAGCCGCCCTTCGCCCGCTGTCAGCTTTGGGCTTTCAGGGCTTAGGCCTGCAGCCTACAGACTGGAAGGTGGGAGGTGGGAAAAGTGCCAAATTTGAATTTGGCGCTTTCCCCGCCTCCCCCTTCTGGTCTGTAGGTCGATTTTCTGGCCGCAAGTCAAAGTTAAACCTTGCAGCCGGAGAAGTCCGTAGGTCGAAAAGTATGTAAGTGGAGCTGACCGTAAGTCAAGATTGCACTGTACAGCTGCAGTATGGTGTTACCTGACTTGTCACTGACGTTATACCTGACCTTTGACTCCGTCAGAGACAAGTGAAAGCAGTTATTTTCCTTATCTATTTTATTTATTTATTTATTGGATTTCTATTCCACCCATCTACACCAAAGGTCTACTCTAGGCTGTTTTATTTCTAGAAATACTTACATCCCACTATAGAAGCCTCAGTATGGGGTTATTGTTTTTATACATTGTGGGGTATAGTTTATAAAATACTTAAACAACTGTAAAAGAATCCACTATCCAGTCTCTCAGAGCTAAGCAGTTGTCCTTGAGTCCACAAAAGCTTGAATGAAGAGGTGAGGCTTTAAGTTGTTCCTGAAATTAGGTCAGCATCTGCACCAGTCTGACCTCCAGAGGAAAGGCATTCTACAGGTGGGGTGTCACATCAGAGAAGTTCCTCTCTGCACAATGTATTGCTCCCTGGTGGGATACAGAAAAAAACACAGACACACATAGCAGATCTTGATGCTTAGGCCCACTTATGTAGCAAGGTCCTAAGCTGTTCTTTTTTTGTTCAATTTTCAGATAATTTGGTAGCAATTATATGATTGTAAAATGGTTTCCTTCATTTTCATTTCAGGAAATCTCCAAACAAGTTTTTTTTGAAGGCTGCATGGTGTGACAATGCAAAATGCCCCTTCTTGGAATGGTCAACTCGTTGATGTGCAGGATTCCTCTCCTGTGAACCCGTACTTCACGTTCCAGGTTTATCTGTCTCAATGATGATCTGGCAGCCATCCCCTCTTGCTGACATTTCTGTGGTTTCTGCATGGTGATCAAATGTGCTGAGGAATGGACACTCCCTTACTGTCTTTTAGGGCATGGGAGTTCATATAAAGGTATATTTTTCCATTGACTGGAAGTGGGTAGGAAACAGACCTGTGAAGGCATAAGTTGCAGCATGGTAGAATATTGTTAGTAAGAAAAGAGAAAAGCCCAGTGTAGATTTTCAGCATAGCAGAATTTGTTACTGCTTTTTCTGGCAAACGTATAAGATATGTTGCTTTTAAAAAGACTACTTGCAAGCTGTCTGAAGCTTGAACAGCATAGATTTTAATATTAATTTTAAGTGAGAAGGAAGATGCAAATTCAACTGAGATGGAAGAGGCTGCTCCTTGTCTTCTTCCTGAGAAATAGAAATGGAATTGAAAATCAGGCAAAGGCTTTTTCTTATGGATTCTAACCAGTTCACACATGCAGGCTGAAATTACACTGTCCAGGAAAAAAATTCATAGAATCCATAGCAACTATAGTATACATGACACCATGCCTAACACTGATTCAAAATGGTTCCTCATAATTTCTTTTCTGCTCCAGTTTATTTTATGCCACAGTTTTTGGATGGTACAGAACCAGGGAACCAGGATTTTGCATTTCACAACTACAAGACACTATTTGTTACAAAATCTTTCCCGTCTCTGAATCTTTGTCCAAACAATTTCTTTCCAATCTGTATTATCACGTGCTTGGGGAAAAAATTTAAAAAAATGGTTGTGTTTGACAGGGCATAAGGTTTCTATCATGGGATGTTGTACTCAGTCCTCAACACACCCATGGTGACAATATACACACCTACCCACATCAGATTAAAACAAACAAAAAAAGCACTGCAATGTGGGCGTGTGTTACAATTGGGGCCATATATTTTGTAGCAGTAGGGAGTCAAGAGATAAAAGGAACAACAGGGACATTTGGCCTTGGAGTTCAAAACGAAGCAGGGCAAAGGCTAATAGAGTTTTGTCAAGAGAACAAGCTGGTCATCACACACACTCTTTTCCAACAACACAAGAGGCGGCTCTACACATGGACATCACCAAATGGGCAATACCGAAATCAGATTGATTATATTCTCTGCAGCCAAAGATGGAGAAGCTCTATACAGTCAGCAAAAACAAGACCTGGAGCTGATTGTAGCTCTGATCACCAGCTTCTTATAGGAAAAAGGAAAATGATATTGGGAAAGAGTGAAGGCAAGAGGAGAAGGGGACGACAGAGGACGAGATGGTTGGGCAGTGTCATCGAAGCTACCAACATGAATTTGACCGAACTCTGGGAGGCAATGGAAGACAGGAGGGCCTGGCTTGCTTTGGTCCGTGGGGACATGAAGACTCGGACACAATGTAACGACTAAACAACAACAACATGTTTGCATCTAAATTTCAGCAATTACACTTGCCCTGGTTTATTGCAAAGGTGTAGTTCTGGCTGGGGACTCTAATGCAATGTGTTGGATAACTATATGTTTCCTGCATTGAGCAAGTGGTTAGACTCAGTGGCCCCTTTCTAACTTCATTATTCTATAATTCCAAGCTTCTGAGGAGAAAAGAGAAAGAATGGTTGTGTTCAGCATTATACACGTATTTGAAAAATTACAAACCAAGTACAATTCTAAAATGTCCACAGACGTTCTTTTTTTTCTGTTGATTTGCTGTTTTATTTGGGATCATTTGTATTTATACTGTTGCTGCTTTTGTGTCTTCATTTTTTGTTTGTTTGCCTGCTCCTATGTGATTTGGTTTTTATATTACTTTATCTTCACTGTGTTACTCTTAGCTGCTTGAGAAAGAAGTCCAAATATTTAAAATATTCTAATATTTCTGTTTTGACTTTTTATCATTTTTCTAGTTGTAGTTTTCTGTAAAATATTGTTGCCAATTTAGTTTCTTACTCTCAAAGCAATGCATAAAAATCTTGCTTCTTTTAATGAGAGTAGTATCATGTTTCCCCGAAAATAAGCCTTACCCTTAAAATAAGCCCTAGTATAATTTTTTGAGATTATTGTAATACAGTATAAGCCCTACCCCGAAAATAAGCCCTAGTTAAGTGAAACCCGGCCCTCCACCAGGGACTCACCGGGATCTTCCCAAGCCCTCAAAAGAGACTTAAAACTTCTCCCCCCCTCCTTCATTCGCAGTGGGGCTGGGCAGCTAGGGAGGAAAGAACCGGGCACCGCCAGGAACCTGCTTCTTTGCTCCTAAGTTCCCAGCGGCTCTTGGGTTTCGCGCCTCTGCAGTGTGCTTGCTTCCTCCCCTCTAGCATCCGCCCAAACGAGGCTAACAAAGCACAAGTTTGGAGGGGGGGAGGCAATTTCAGAGCTCTGGCCCCACTCAGCCAGCCCCCCCTGCCCTGCCTTTATTCTCCCCTCTCTCCTACCATAACTCACTTCTTTGCTCCTAAGTTCCCAGCGGCTCTTGGGTTTCGCGCCTCTGCAGTGTGCTTGCTTCCTCCCCTCTAGCATCCGCCCAAACGAGGCTAACAAAGCACAAGTTTGGAGGGGGGGAGGCAATTTCAGAGCTCTGGCCCCACTCAGCCAGCCCCCCCCATACAGTAAATGATGCCAATTGAATAAATGTAGATTGTTGTTCTTGAAAAAAAATAAAATATCCCCCCAAAATATTCCCTCTTTGGTGCTACTGGCAGGGCCACGCGTTGAAGCAGCTGCCGCCCTTTCCTCAACTGGGCTTGACCACTTTGGGACTCCGCCCCCTCCCACACCAACACCTCCCCCTTCACGGCTGCCATTGTTTCCAGCAAAACAAACCCAGCGCTCACCAGCCCCAAAGGGAGCCTCAGCCCAGGCGTTGCCACTGGAGGAACCAGAGCCACCACCGTGGTGCCTCTTGGCAGTGGCGGAGGCACCTCTGGAGGAAGTGGCACCAGGTACATTTAAAGAAGGGGAAGGAAAACGGGAATAAATAAAAAATAAAATACAGTAAATGATGGCAATTGAATAAATGTAGATTGTTGTTCTTGAAAAAAAAATATCCCCCCAAAATATGCTCTAATGCATTTTTTGAGTAAAAATTAATATAAGACCCTGTCTTATTTTTGGGGGAAAATTGTACTTTTGCTCTACAGTTCAGTGCTGTAGATTAGATTTGTTCTTTAAGTGGAGGGTAGATGGAAGGATTAGAATGGTGGATGCGTTTCCAGTAGTCAGATATTTTGTTAGGAAATTTTCACTGTGGAAAGATGGGCTAAAATCCTGTTGATGTAACTAAACCTATGGAAGGCCAGTTTCATCCCAGTGGGACTGATTTTCGGTAATTAAAGACTTCCTCCTCTCATCTGGTGGCTTCCACAACTTCCGCATGATGGAATGGATTACATAGGATCCATGAAACTAAAGTAGGGTATGTTTAATTTCTAAAAATGCACCCCACTGATGATGCCACCAGCCTTCTGTAGGCATGTTTATGTTAACAGGATGTCAAACATATTAAAATAAATCTGATATTTTGCATTCCAGATGCAGCTGTGATCCTCGGCTGTGTTTCTCATTGAAGGGACCTAATGTTTTACGTTATTGGTAAGCAACTAAAGAAACCATAATATATTGTTCCTTAATGTTACATCAAAATCTCTTGTCTAATGGTGGGGTTGACATTGTATAGCAGAATAGTTTCCCTTGAGAGTTCTATTCCAAGGTAAAATGTTGCTAAGTTTCATCCAGAGTGGCTCAGACCTGACTGTAGTCATGCATCCTTTATGGTGGATTTGCAGTGTTTTCCTGGAACTCACGATCCACATTCCCTCTGATTTTTCTACCCCCTTGGGCAGGACTCTGCCCCTTGTATGTGTGGTCCCACCCCCTCCATGCGTCGTGACAGGAACCAAAGGGGCTGGAAACACTCACTGTGGGTGTACGGAGGAGGACGGATGCTGCACGGAGGGATGGCACTGCATGTGCTCATGCAGGCGCACATCTTAGAAGGAACCTTGCTCACGTCTGCTCACTATTTTTTTCTTGTAACAGGTGGGATCACAGTATCTGTGGTAGCTTTTTTTTTCACCATTAAGTTCCTGTTTGAGCTTGCCGCACGTGTAGTCAGCTTCCTCCAACATGAGGATCGGGAGCGCAGAGGAGAGCGGACCATTTATGACTACGTGCGAGGCAACTACTTGGATCCCCGCTCTTGCAAAGTGTTCTGGGATTGGAAGGACCCCTATGAAGTGGGCCACAGCATGGCCTTCCGAGTGCATGTAAGAAAACATTTCTTTTTCTATCGCAATATGGGGATTGGATCTACTATTTATGTCAAGTTGATGCTGAGAAATTTCATTAGGGAGTTTGGGATTATTCTTTGTGTCTTGTTGTGTTATTTTTGTTATGTGACCAAACTTCTTCCATGGCAAAAGAGGCTGTCACCACAGGAAATATATCTAAGTTGTAACGTTTTTTACTTTCAACTTTAGCAATATAAACTTTAACAATACTTTTATACTTTTTCTTTCTGTTCTTTTTTGAGGTTAGCTATCTTGAAGCATTTTCAGAATTGATTTTTTAAAATGATGTAAATATTTTTGCCTTGAGAGACTATGATGTTTCCATTCCTAGTTCTAGTTTGGGACACTAATCATAATAAAGAACAAGGAAGTGTTTATTTGGACTTCTGCATCAGTGATATAAAGGATGTGCTAGTTTACTTAAAATCTCTGCAGCTCACTTTTCACCTGGGCTTCTTTAATTCCCATGCAGTTATTCTATAAGAATGGACAGCCCTTCCCTGCTCATCGTCCTGTTGGGCTACGTGTCCACATCTGTCACGTGGAGCTAGCAATTGATATTCCTGTTACCCAAGAAGTACTTCAGGAGCCCAGTTCCAATGTGGTGAAGGTAGCATTCACTGTGCGCAAGGCTGGGCGCTATGAGATCAGTGTAAAGCTTGGAGGCTTGAATGTGGCATATAGTCCTTATTACAAAGTCTTTCAGCCAGGTAAGGGAGCTTTGACCAATAAGAAATGAAATCAAAGCATACATAGAAAAACTGAAGTTACGGTTTCTCTTTAATTGATACTCAAGTCAGACTTAGTATAAATCAAAGAATAATGTGGTTGTTGTGGCTTTTTCCGGGTTGTTTGGCCATGTTCTTAAGGTTTTTTTCCCCTAACATTTCGCCAGTCTCTGTGGGTGGCATCTTCAGAGGACAGGAGTCAGAACTCTGTCTGTACTCTGGTGAATATAAACAATAATACTTCCAAGGATGGCGGGGCTGTAACTCATGTCAGATTCTTTTCTGTATGTTTGAGTCTGGCTGGCTGACAGAGTCCTGGGGATGGAACTTTCAGGAGAAAAGTACGACTCATTTCCCCATCCAGCCTTGCGAGTTGCAAAGGTGCATTTTGGTGTCTTTCAGAAGAGCAAAGAAATGGTGCAGGAATAGTGTGGAGATAAGGGGCTGCTCTGTGTCATGGTATTTGATGGCTCCCAGTACCATAATTTGTCTGGGCAGGGAGTCCCCACTGGATTTTGGGACTGGGAATTATTCCCCCCCCCCAATGTCCCATCCCTACTGAGTACCCCATAATTCAGGTTACTGGCCCTCATCTGTTTCATTGCTGTCAGCTGTTATAGAATCTTCACATCCTCACTGGACTATGATGAAAGGGAGAGATAGTTGGTATTACATTTTTGCCCCCATTTCTCTATAGGTTGACATGGATATTATTAAATCATATTGTGGTGCCAAGTGCCCTAGCACAGCATAACTGCTGAGGAACAGAGCATTAAACTACAAGCACTGATTGGTTTTTGGCAGTGTCTATTGACATAGAAATAGAACTGCAGGATTTCAGTGCCTACAGTTCTGGAAAGTCATTTCAAATGCATAGTATGAATAATGGTTTCAACAGTGACAGGAAAACTGCAGTCTTCTATTCTTTTGTTGGTGTGTCACCCAGTAGAGTGTCTGTGCACATTTTAATAGTTATTGTCATCCAGTAATGTCCGGAGTTGTACACCACCTATATGCTTGTGTCCCTTGAGGCCGCAGGATATGTTTGTAAGCTGCCAATAACTTTCACAATCATTTGGATTGAAAGATGGTTTCTGTCAGAGTGCCCTGTCAACCGGTTCCTTTAAGATGTTGATTACCTTAATTTCCCACCCTTATTTCGCAGGTGAAATATGGCTCCAATTTCCCTTTTTGCTGTAGTTCTGAATTATGTTAACTGTAGTTAGCATACATGTCCTCAAGAGAAGGATGCAGCTGTCTCATCTAGCATTTAAACAGATGTGGCATTTATGGTCTTGATCTGAATTGTTCTACTTGTTTGCTTGCTTTTAAAAAAAATGGCTTACAACATGGTTAAGATGTATACCAGAAAAAGGCCTAACACATGAGGGGAAATGCGAAAGAAAGAAATTACAAGCCAAAAGCCTCAGGATAAGCAAATAGTCTCTTGCAGTGAAACATCAGCCACATTCTGGGCCTGATGAGTCAGTCTTCTTCTGATACATGTTAAAAGTGAGAGTTGACAGTAGGAGAACAGAGTTACACTTTTGGAAGTGTTTTGTTACCATTTCTTGCCCTGACATCTAAAATGTATTTTCTAAAAAATGAAACTCTTTGGCAGACTATTATATAGACAAAGTGAAAATTTCAAAGCGATATCACACACATACGTAATTACAATTTCATAGTACTTGGCAATTAAATCACAGTGTGCCTTTGTGGATTTCTTAATGTTCCTTTCTGGTCAAGTTCAGAAAGGCTCCAAACCACACAGAAACATGCCATTGGGTTGAACTTGGATGATACAATGAAGTTAAAAAAAATATTCCATCCTTGCCATTATCATCAACATGGCATAAAGTCTAAAACGAGCTCTTACCTGTAATTAAGGTTCATCTTCCATTTTCATCATTTGCATTTCATCTGTCATCCTAACTCTTGGCTAAACCAAGTAACTGAATGTGCTCAGAGCAGTGAGAGAGAGTGCTTAGGAACAGTTATAGCAAAGATCCATATATCTTGACAGCCCACAGGCAAACCAAGGCACCACAGGAGCATGGGGAGGCCAACTAGACATTTCCTGAGGATTGTCCATAAATCAGTCTCCACATCCATACCATTCTGTGTGTGAAAATTGAAGCAGCCTAATTTCCACCAGAAGGAGATCTGCCAAGGGAACAGTGGGAAAACCTTCCACATCCAAATCATCATCCTCCCACCAAAGTTAAGAGTTCCAGAATGGAGTGTGACTTGCCATCTGTTGGACCAGTACTATATTAGAATAGCGGTGCTGTTGTCAACATTGCCAGGGAACTATGACTTGTTTGCTGCATGCATTGTATTGTCCAGCAGCTTTGGTTTTGAATAAGTAGTAGTTCAGAATACACCCTACCTCAATGACTTTTCATATTCCTCATTGCATATGCCACCTTAAAATATTGCATTTGGTTTTAAACTGTATTTTCCTCTTTTAGGAATGGTAGTTCCCTCCAAAACCAAAATTGTTTGCCATTTCTCCACCCTGGTGCTGACTTGTGGGCAGCCACATACTTTGCAGATAGTTCCTAGAGACGAATATGATAATCCTACCAGTAACTCAGTATCGCTGATAGATGAGCACAATTATAGCCTTTCAATCCATGAGGTAAGTGACATCTGTCCTCCTCTGCCTTGTCTTTCTTTATGATCAAAGCACATGGATAAACCCTAATATATCTATCTTTTGTCTAGTTTGGTCCCCAAGAAGAAGAGCCTTCTGATGTTTTGTTTGAAAAATCTGTGTTGTTGAATCGGCAAACTTGTCAAGTTTTCCTGAGACTCACCCTACTCCGTAGGGGATGTTTCCGTGCCTGCATCGCCTACCAAAACCAGCCTATTAGCAATGGAGAGTTTGATATAATTGTTCTAAGTGGTGAGTTTAAAAAGAAGCAATTGTCTGCTGAAGAATTTGAAAATTGGTGATTACATTTCTCACCTTTCCCAGTGACAAAAGTAGGGCTGTGAGGTGTAGTTGTTTGTCCAAGTTCAATAGTTAAGTGGTGAAGTTCATAGTGGTATTTTCAGTCTAGATTTCCCACATTCAGATCTTATATTCTGGTCATAGTATTGCCTTGGCTTGCCAGGTTAGAAAGTCTGACACTTGAATACCTTCCTTAGCACCTTATAAACCTTTATTCAGCATTAGTTAAAATCAGAAACCTGTGTTCATCACATCTAGCATTTGCTTGTGATATATAATTAGCAACCAGTGTCTTTCATTTCCAGTGTTGTCAAACATGACACATGCAGAGTCAGTTATTTAACTTAAATTGATGTGAGAACTTTAACTTCCACTGAGTCAGACTATCATGTGTATGCATGATAAATAGATTGAGAGAGGGAGATGTAGAGATAAATGTTTGTTTGTTTGTTTGTTTTTCTGGCAACCCACGCCACTCTGGGCAGTTTACAAAATACCATAAAAGAAAATATAAAGACAAATAGTACAATGCAGATAATAAAATAAAATAATCTATACAAAATCAAAACAGTATTAGTAGAACATTAAATTAAAATAAAGCATGGAGGAGGTTGAACATTAGAGAATTCTGGTTATTTTAGCGTTATTGCATCAGATGACATAGGGTCCGGGAAGGCCTGTCTAAACAGAAGTATTTTTAATTATTGCTTAAAAGTTCCCAATGAAAGCGCTAGGCGAATATTTGGCAGGAGAGCATTCCATAATTGTGAGGCTACCGATTCTGGTTACTGTTTTCTGGGCCTCTCTCGGGGTCAAAGCTCTTAGCCGTCCAGCCTGCAAAGGTCTTATAGAACGGGCACATGTGGTTGGAAGGAGGCGTTCTACCAGATAAGGTGGTCACAGTTTAGGGTTTAGTACTCGGCCACTGATTCACTGGGTCTTTAATGAGGGTTAGCTGTTGTGTTTAGGTTTGGGAAAAAGGAATTTCCTCCACATTGGGAACTTGTAAATGGCCTAGACTGATAATCAGAGGAAGGAAATTTTAGGCATTAGATTTACAAATGTTTTCTCCCTGAGATTTATTATTAATAAGGTGGTCACAGTTTAGGGTTTAGTACTCGGCCACTGATTCACTGGGTCTTTAATGAGGGTTAGCTGTTGTGTTTAGGTTTGGGAAAAAGGAATTTCCTCCACATTGGGAACTTGTAAATGGCCTAGACTGATAATCAGAGGAAGGAAATTTTAGGCATTAGATTTACAAATGTTTTCTCCCTGAGATTTATTATTATATATAATATAATATAATATAATATAATATAATATAATATAATATAATATAATATAATATAATATAATATAATATAATATAATAC